CTATGTATGGTTTAAGCTGCTAATCTCATACCTCTGTTTCTTAAGAACATGGTTTGCCTTGACACTAATTCTGGCCGCAGTGCCTCAAGGCCTTTCACCTTTTCTTGACTCAATCTGTGAGAGAACCCAGCTGGTACCAGAGAGGCCAATAGATTGACAAGTACAGAGAAGGCTATTCATCTTTTGTCTACGTTTGTGGCCAGGATGGGCAGGGTTACATTATTCTAATGTGGCCACCAAGCCCTTTCCCTTTGCAAGTCGACCATGAGCAGGAGAGTTTAAGAAAAAGTTGGGCATAGTGGCAGTTGAATGGCACACCACTGTAAATGGTCTTCTGCTTACTAGAGATGTCTGAAAAATCTGTCCTATTAGGCATGCTAATCTAATACTTCCCTGATATAGTGGATAAACTACACATACAGGCCTACAGGCAGATAGACTAGGCCTGTCAAAGTAGGAAGCTAGTTAATTTTCAAGCTTGTCCATCATTCTGAAAAGACCCCTCCTCCTGTCTAATTAACAGTGTCTAGATTACCAGTGGCATGCTAACTGGTTTGATTTGAAACAACTATTTTTAATGAGTCTTGGATGTACCATAAACAAAGACATGAGCAAGTTTAAGGTATAGTCATTCCAGAACTTTAATAGCATTGAAGAATATATCTGAACTTGGCTGTGTCTGCTGAGCTATCATCATGTATTGGACATTTTAAGATCTAAGTCATGAAACGGAAGCCTGTATTTTGACTTGTCTAATATGTTATAATACCTGGACTTAACAAACTCCAGCTATCAACTTTGACTTATTTGTCTTTAACTCATCAGAGTATAATGGGCTTCAGAGTAATTTTTAATCTATATGTAAATTAGCTATTTTCATAACAGTTGTAGTATAAACTTGTAGTATAAACTTCCATTCAAAAAAGGATTGAATGTAAGCAATATTTTGAAAATAATGTCAATGAAGAGGCTGTACAAGTAACACATGACATTCAATGAATTTGAATGTAGGTTATGTTAAGACACTTTCAACAAAATTATTGTCATTGACAATTTTCTAGAGCTGATAATGCATGAAGTAATATGTAGATCAGACAATTAAGATAAGATTTCATTATAGGGCTGCTAAATTGTGTTAAAGGTCACACAATTTTCATTAGAGAGCTTCCATTTGGCTGATTTCATATAAAAGTTGATAATATTTTTACTAAATTCATTTTCTACTCACTAAAGTGACAAAGTGATTAAAACTCTTGTTTTTTGATACAAAATTATATGTCTTGTCTACTATTTAAATCTGTGTTTATAAGTGAATATACTGTCTGATATTTATAATTGGAGTGTGACATGCTAAAATGTCAGGGAAACTCTAATTTTTCCTAATTTTAATCAGAATAAAAGTTATATTAATGCATCAATTCCTTCTTTCATTTTTATGGAACAGTGTTGCACAGGGCAATGTTTGAAGGATATTAATAAAAATCGTAGGTATTCAAACTTCATTTCTAAGTCAGTATTATTAGTCTCCAGTTTCACTTGTCTACCACAAGGAACAGAAGAAAAAACTAGAAAGATTGGGATGAATTATTCTGGATATCATTTGCCTTCTTTGTAATAGTTTGGTTAAGCTGGGGGTGGTGGCACATGACTATAATCTCAGAATCTGGGAGGCTGAAGGAAGAGAATTGCAGGGAGTCTGAGGCCAACCTGGGTTACATACTGTGTTCAAGGCCAGCCTGCACTATATAATGAGCTCCTGTCTCAAACAAAAAATAAAACAAAACAACCAAAAAAATCAAACAACAACAACAAAATAGTTTATTCAAAAGAAAGGTAGAAAATAACCTCTGGGCTGATGGCTATGGAAAACTGCAATGGTGGGTTCTAAATAGAAGCTAGGTCAGAATAACTAAGCTCTCTGAATTACAACTGGCTTTAACTCGGTATACTGTGAATTTATTTCCAGAGGGAAATCAATACATTTGTTAATGATTTGAATCATTGTCATTATTATCAGTGAAAAGTGCAAATCACTGTCCCTAAGGTACTTCTATACTTAATCAAGTTAATGTTTTGACAGGGCAGAGATATTAAACACTTTTGTCCTTTAAATATAAACTCAAAGAAATTAAGAAATATTCTGACTTATTTGTATTTGTATTGGTATTTATTGTGCTGGCTGGATCTCACTATGAAATGATTATCATGCAATTGTATTCTTGCTGGGAAATGATTTTATTGCATAAAAAATGAGCAGAGATCAGTGAGCTGTGTCTGCTGATAGACTCTAATTTGCAGACTGTTATACTAAAGCAGATTTGGGATTTGTGGCAAAGTTGGTGATTGGACTACTGGACAATTTTGTGGCAGGGGTGAATCACACCATACGTGTGCAGTCTTATCCTACCGCGTCATGTCATATAGTATAATTCAGTTTATACAGTCCTATACATAGATAGTCACAGAGCTGCAGCAGCCAATGTTACTTTGTAATAAAGTAGGGCAGGCACTGCTCTATAGGGTTTTTCCCACATTCATAAGTTTTGGAGGATAGTTTCGTGGCTTTAGCAGCGACATTCCTTCACAAATTATTTGTGTGCCAGGTCCCTGGGAAACAGTGGTGTCCAAATGTGGAATTTCCACATGCATGTTTGTGTGTGTGTCTGTGCACACACTCGTGGGCCATGGAGATTTGCTGGTAGTGATAAAACTTCTGTTTGTTACATCATTTTATCTGGGAAAAAAGACTTTTCAGATGCAGTCAAGGATAAGATGTTAACATATAGAGCCTATCCTGAATTATCCAGGTGATCTGCATCTAATTAAATGAACCCAGAAAAATAGAGAAATTTCTCTCCAGAATTTTGACTTGCTTGAGTCAGAGAAGTGGAAGAAATCAGGCAAATGTAAAGCATGAAAGAGGTGGTACTGCCATTTCTGGAGCGGGAAGGGTGGCCCACAGGGAAGACCTCAGAAAGAATGGACAGCTGCTAGGAGTGAAAACTTTCACCCGGTTTATAGCACCGCGTGAGAGGGGGCCTCAGCTCTGCCTCTGCAAGGAACTGAATTTTTCCAACACCTGAGTATGATTAGAAGAGAATCCTTCCCCAGTGCCTGGAGTGAAGAAAGCATCACTACCAAGACCTTGAATTTGGCAGGTGTGACCCTAAGCAGAGTGCCTAGGCCAGCCCATCTATAGAGACTTTGACCTTTAACAACGGAGAGATACTACATTTGAGTTGTTTTAAGTCGCTAAGTTTGTGGATATTTGTTATAAAAGCAGTAGGAAGCTAATACTGTGTCTGTCCCTGAAAGATCCTCAGTGAGAACTATTTTATTTCCACTGGTCAAACTCCATCTACCTTCCTGGTCTTATATATTCTGTCATTTAAATTCAATTCCACTAATTCTTAGGCCATTCTGTAACTTCTTATATCACTCTATAACTCATTGTAACATCCATTTATATCCTATAACTTCCATGATATAGATACAGTTTCTAAAAGATCTTATAGTAGTCTGTAATGTCTATGATATATACAGAATAAATTCATAAATCTGGGAACCATGACTGGAGAAATTACTTATTGGATCTAAGTAACACATATCTCTAGAAAATGATGGAATTATATCAAAATCTATATTAAAAATATGCTAACCATCTCCTTCCAACTTTTGTGCTTCCTGCTGGTGGCCTCTTTCCCCTTAAGCAATTGATTTTTAGTAGTTTGCAATTTAGATTTGGAAAACTGGAACTTATCATATGAAACCATAACATTAGGCTACTTCATGGTTGCCATTAACAAACGAACACTATTTCCTCAACAGAGAACTGCCTCTCCTTGGTCCACTTGACTCAAAGAGCAAATTAACTCATTTGTTTGCTTAGCAATTTGCTTCTGGAGTTCGATGGGAAGAATATGAGTTTACAGCTGAGTTAACTATAGCTATGAGAGCTCTTCCCATTAATTGCAGGCTATTGCAACAAGCGTGTCCATTGTTTCTGTTTCCTTCGCCAATTTGCAAATATACACAGAGGCTTAATAATTGTGCTTTTATATTCTGAAATAAATAAGCAGGATAGCCAATTAAGGAGACATGCATATAAATCAAAATTATTTTTTACTTCTGGGCTTGCATAAAACGAAAAAAGAGAAATCTAAACAATACTTGTAAACCATGTTGGGAGGTTCATTCGAATTAGGAACTGCTGTCGACATGCTTCATTAGCTCTGGAGTCGGAGAGCTGGGTTTGAGCCCCAAATCCATCTCTTAATGGTTGTGCGGTGTTGAGTGAGTTGCTTAGCTTCTCTACCCTGTTATTGTGTGATGATAAAATCTATCTCGGGTCTTTAAAGTACTGTACCAGGGACAGTGCTGTAATGATCATTGATAAGGATGCTTTGAAGTTCTCTGTACATTGCATCATCTATGCAAAACATTAAGCTTATCAGAACCTCAGATAATTTCTCCTGCTAAGCATGGTTAAGGGTTTTCTACATTTTTCAAAAGAATAAGCATGACACAGTGAACTGGGCAAGAGCGAGGGGATGTGGAGGAAAAGACCAAGATGAGAGTGAAATGTACGTGGAAGCTGACTTACAGAAGCCTCAGGAGTGACTAGTGTGTAAATGTCACTGACACTTGACCCTGAAAACCATTTTTTGAAAAGCTCTTTAAATACAATTTTAAAATGCGTTGCTTTTCAGGTACATCTATGCTGTGTTAGTATCATGTATTTCAAGTCCATTCTCAGACTTGAATCTGAAGTTATTTTTTTCAGCATCTGAGAATAGAAGTCGGAGTTGCACGTATTGTGTCTATGCTGGTGGCAGGGCAGGTCCGGACAGGTCTAAACTTAAAAAGAATTGTTTCACGCTTTCTGAGGCCTGCAGAGAGATAACTATATTCTTAAGTAGAGTTCTAATATTTTTCTTTTGGTAGAAATTTAAATTGCAGGAAATTTAATTTGTTAAAAACTACCTTTTTGTTTTGCTTAGCTATCAGCTCTGTCCGTGTGATGTGAAAATTGTTCTTCAGTTCAGCAGAGGCATTATGCTGACCATTTTAGGTTAAAAAAAAGTTTCATTGTTTTCTAAGTAATGGTTTGTTAGATGAAATTATATTCTAGTCTTTAAATTATATTCTTTTATGTTTATATTATATTCTTTAAGAATAATTTAAAATTGGAATAATCCCATGTGAGTTTATCCTAGCTGGCAGGGGAGAGGTTAAACTGCCTGCAACAAATAAAAGATGTCCTTTCATATAAGTTATGAAACTTCCCATCTCAAAAATATTGAACTGTGAGTCAAAAGTCGTAGAAACCCAGAATTCACGCGAAGTCCCCTACCGCCTACCCTAAACACACGGAGCTCGAAGTTCCGTGCCTTTCTCCCCCTTGCCATTGGTTCCTTATGTTCCCGTCTCTCTAGCCCTCATCCAGCATCTTAGCTCAGACCTCGCTTGCCTCTTGCCTGGACCCTACCATCTGCTAACGGGTCTTGCTGCTCCACCTATGGCCCTTGCCCACCCCCCCAACCCCCCTACAGCTCTGTTGGTGTGATCTATCTGAAACAAGCCCAGTCATGTTGCTCCTCTTCTTGAAAGCACTTACTGGCTTCCGCGGTGTGGAGAACAGAGTCCAAGCTCTCCTTGCATGCCAGGGGTGAGGATTTGGCCTTTGGCTGTGTCTATGTTTTCACCTCTACCCCCGCCCCCACATCCTTACCTCATGGTAGACCAGCTCCCTATTTCCTAACTCCGTGGCACTGCTTTATTCGCTACATCTTTACTCAGTCTGCTTTGATTATCCTCTCTGACCCCCATTTTCCTCATAAACATTCATCTTCTGGAGAGTGAACTCGACGCTAAATCTTTTACCATGCCTGCCCTACCCGACCCAAGAGACCTGGCTTCTCTTTCCGTTGTGTCTTTCCTCTGTCCTAGAGAGACTTCTGGGCACAGCATTTGTCATGTTTTATTGCATTTGTTCACACGGTCATTTTTCAACTCCAGACTTAATCTCTTTGAGATTAAGACTCTATCTTATCTCACGAGTGTTAATGTGCTTGGCCTCGGTATACACTCGTTGAGCATTTGTGGAAAGGAGAGAATGGAAAGACCTTGATGGACAGGTTTACTAATCTTGACACACCATGTCACCTCTCAAACTTTGTTTCCTCCCCTGTAAAACACCAGTAATACTGTTCATTCTTCTCACTGCATAAAACAGCTTTGTACATGGACTGCTGGTGTCAGCTTTAGACACCATCGGCCCTCTGCTTATCTGTGCTATCACATTTCAGGCCGTCTGCCCCTCCTTCTCTGTTCTCTGGAGGAATTTGCCTTCTGATCTTTTCCAGAAGGTGCCAAGCTGCTTTCATTCCCCATGCATGTGCCACACTGGCTGTTGCTCGTTGCTTTAAATGGGAGCTGCTGCCCTGAACTTCGAAGAGCGACCTGCTTCTCATCAAATGCCACCTCCCCGAGGCCTTGGCTGGCCCTTTTCTGAAGCCTTTTCTAATGTTTTGAATTTTGAACTTAGAAGTTACAACTATAAAAGTCAAGGCCTTCTGAATTCTACATGCAAATTTTAATAATGGGATAAAATGCATGGTAAAAGGGGTCAGCCTTTTGATAGCCCAATACAGTGTATCTCATTTCTTACTCAAAAAAACATAAAAAAGATGAAAGAGTGTAGCCTATAATTATTCTGCCAGGCTATGAGATACAAGCAGGTAATTTAAAAATGTTTTATGACTATACTTTTAGTCATAGTTTGCATTAAGTCAGGCTAGTACTTTTTTAAGGTAACTGATGGCAGGGTTTATTTTCCCAGGGTTTGAGTCATCATGCAAAAATTCTTACACAGGTCGCCCTCTTCCCCATCCCAGCCTTCTTTATTTCCATCTCTCTGTGGTCATCCATAGCCGTGCCATGTACATATGTGTGTGTCTGCACACACGCACACTCTCTCTTACTCCTCAGCAGAGGCAAATTAAAGCTAAGTGGGCATAATTAGTCGCCTTTTGCCTCGTAATTTGGATTTTAGAGAAAAATTCCATTTTTCTTCTGTTGGGAAAACCATCGAAAACATTAGTGATCTCAAATGCGCTGACCTCACACATTCCCTTTCTTGTCTCTCCTGTAAACAACCTTCGCAGTCTTGCCAAGGCTTTCCAGTATCAACATGTCAAGCACAATCCCCTGGGCTGGATTCACACTGGCCTCTTGGCTTTTTACAGAGCCCTGCATAGCCTTGGCCCTAGCTTGATGTTAATGCAAATAATGTTAACATCTTTAGTAAGGCCTTTGCGCTGAAAACCAAGGAAATTCGACCATAATAAACATGCTGAGAATAAAATCAGGCGCTGTGTAATTATTAGGTCAGAGGCAGGTAGGTGTAATTGTTTCTGTACTGAACAAAGACAGCTAGGCAGTAGCTGGCTCTCCGATGAGTGGGCAAGGTGCACAGGGCCGGGATGTTCAATCTGCGAACCCACAAGCGTCCAACACCCGCATGTTACCGCCTATGTTTTTCCCTTCTGTGCTATTCTTTGTCTTTGTTTTTAAAAGCAGTATTAAATTGGCTACCGGTTTTTCCCTTCCATATATTTCTTTCTGTGCTTACAGGCAAACACAGTAAATTAAGCATATCTAAGGATTTAATGCTCAAAATCACCTTGGATAATTGTCGTAAGGGATTGAGGCATGCTTTTTCTTCATCTCTTAGTTTTAAGGCTATTTCTTCTCAGAGGGTACATCTGTCAATAATTGATGGTGCTTTCTTGGGTAAACGAGCTGTTTCCTGGGACATTACAAATCATATTTGGAATCAAGTTTATATTGAAGCTGCTTTTAAAGTCTTGATGTGCTAACGGAATAGGAAATGCTAAATGTTGGAGGGAGTAATGCAAGCTCTCACATGCTGATGGTATGAGCCAGGCTTAAGAAAACAGATAGTATTTACACCCCTTGAGGAAACAGGAGCACACATGGTATGTCAGAAAAGCATGTAATTTGGTAATGGCCTTACAGGAGGGAAACTGCCTGAGTACCTACTACGTGCTCAGTACAGTGCAGTGAGCCATGACCGCTTGGAGTATCTGAATTCGGAGTATCTGAGCAGATTCAGCTGGCAGTGCTACTACGGCTCGGCTGTGCATGGAGAAACTGAGGCTTGGGCAGGGTGATTACCCCTCAATGCACACAGTGAACTCGTGGTGCACTTGAAATTGGGATGGGTGGATTGTCAAGTCCTCCATATTCTGAACTTATCAGAAGCCAGACACCCTCTGTGAACTGGTCTTCACCCTGTTTGGTGGTGTCTGTTGTTCTGGACGCGTGGTGCGCGTGGTGTTGAGACCGAGGCCAACGTTCCTTATCACCAAACCTTTTCCAGGTCACTCAGCTGTGCTGAAATCAGTGTGGCTTCACTTTTATCTGCTTTCTATGGAAGACGTCGGTGTGGCATTTTGATACGAAGGTTCTGCTACTAAAAAGAATTCTGAAAACCAGAGTTGTGTGAGAGCAAGAATCTATCTTATGAAATAAAACTGTTAACATATGCAAGAATGTAACTGATATGTAAAAACTGGGGAGTATTTTCCCCCTTTCTGTGCTTTAAAAGACACACAGAACATTGTGGAATGATCCTCTTTCAAGCATTGCTGCAGGGTGAGGACTGAACTGAGACTTGGCAGGCTAGGTTTTCATTTTACTTGGACCTTAACCCATTGTGTGCTATCGTTTCCCCCTCCTAGGTTCCCACATGTATGGGCTAAACCTCGTGCCTTCTATATGACAGTCAAAGAAGATCAAAGGTAAGAAGCTGGTTTGAAAAAGAGAGAACATTGCTAAAATATAATGTATTGCTTCTACTACTTTTATTTTTGAGGAAGTTGGAAAATCATTAGTAATTGATCTGAGCATCACAGTTAAGATTTCAAAGGCAAAATGTTAAAGAGTTTAGGTTACTTTAACACAGGACAGATGTAAAAGGCTTAAAACCATTTTTAGAAGCTCGTTCAGAACAATTATTTTAGAGATAATGGTTTATTAAGTGCATAATATATGCCCTTGAGTTTTAGTTATGTACAACTTTGGCTGCTGTTCATTTTAAAACTTTCTGATGAAAAATATACATCACATTGGCTCTTTTGTGGTTAGGCAACCCTCTCTTGGTAACTTTATATAACTCTGTTCTGCTGGTATCAGGTCAGACCTAAGACTTAAGTTTGAAACTTCATTTAATCCTCTTGAACAATGTGCAAGATGGGGTAAAAATAACCATGGGACAAAGAAGAAAATAGCAAGGCTTAGAAATATTAGGTATTTTTGGCTGAGGCTTTATACCTAGGCCTGTCTGCTGCTAAAATCTTTGTTCCCTTACAACACCATGGATTTTGATCAGCCAGTTATTATCTGTGTATAACTTCAGTCTTGTAGTTGTCTCCAGATTTCCTGTCTTAACATTTGCAACGCATAGTCTACTTGAATTATTTTTGTTTTATACAAGTCTAAGTAGCCCACTGGAAAAAACGTGCAGGATCATGCAGCTCCTTACTTCCTGGCCTCTCATGGGGAGACGTAAAACTGTTACAAGTATGAGATCGGTGCTCCCAGCCATCACCGCAAACACGTAGTGCTAAGTCACTTCTATACTTAAAATCCTTTAATGGTCTGCTGAGCTTCTGCAATCATGTTTTTCTCTCCGTCTCCTCTTCACCTGGTCTTTGGTGCCCAGGGTGCCTTAACTAAATGCACCATGCACTTGCCACCTCTGTACCTCCTCCTCCATGCCTGGCCACCTGGCAGGTCTCTTTGTGCATAATATCTCAAATCTACAGGTACCTCTGTTAGGCTTAGTCCCTCAGACCCGCTCTTTTTCTCTTTTTTAATTGTCAGGGAAATTATACGCTAGATTTGAAAGGATTAAATCTCTATTGCGTTGCTATTTCTGCTGTAATTACTGACTTACCTTTGTCACCCGCAATCCTGGGAGTCTATTAAGGTGCAAGGTCTGTCTTACTCATTTTTGTATCCCCGGTGCACAGTGCATGCTTAGTAAATATTTATTAAGTGAATGGATATGTTGACTCCTTGGTGACAGAGAAATATCAGCTTCTAATTTCTAAGACAGTTTACATTTAGCTGAAATTTCCTTTCCTATTGGCCCAAATTCTGGTCCCTGAGGTCATTCAGAATAATTCCCCTTCTTTTTGCATGTGGCACTTTAAATGTTTAAATTCAGTTAGTCTACTTTTCAGTAGCCTAAATGTTCCTCATTCTTCTACCTTCTTCTTATGTGTGAATTATGTATCCCCTCAACATTGGCTGGCTTCTTTTCCTTGTGTTCTAGCTGATACCTTTCTCTTCTAAAATGAGATACTCACATCAGAACTCAAAATTCCAGATATTGTTCCAGGAGGCAAAGAGCCCATGGGGATAATCCTCTCTTCTGCTTTGTAAACTAAACTTAAAAGTACATAAAGTAATAACTGACTTTGGTATGATAACATAGAATAAAATATGTTTTATATATATAATGAAAATGCTACAATCTAAAGCCATAATCAAATATATAGTAAAATAATAAAAAACTATTAGTCCTTTACAAATCTTTTATAATAATCTTGATTGGGGGATAGGTACTGTAACTCCTCTTTCCAAGTTAAAAAACTTAGAGTGGGGGCTTCTACTACTTTTCCAAAGTCATAATTTATTTTGAGTGGCAGAGACATGATGGGATCCTTGGGGGACTTTAGACCTGTTTAGAACAAGCCTCTGGTTTAAACCACCAAGCTATACACAAATACCTCCAAGGATCCCCATGAGCTTCTTAAAACTCAGTACAAGGTATTATGCAACAGTATATGTTTGGAAGGTGCAGGTATTTACATTTAATCATATTTTTAAAGGAAGTGCTCAGTGTCAGAGCCCGGGCTGAGAGCACATAGCTGACTACATCTGTCGTTTCTGTGATTTCTTTTTACTTCCGCGTGCAAGGAATCCTCGGAGATCCTCACGCACCCAATGGATACAGTGACCTTTGAAGATGTAGCTGGGAACTTCACCTCGGCAGAGTGGGCTTTGCTGACTCCATCCCAAAAGAAGCTCTACAGAGATGTGATGTGGGAAACATTGATGAATGTTACTGCTATAGGAAGAACATGGGATAAGCAGCAAATGGAAGCAGAAGGCAAAATTTACTCAAGAAATCTGAGATATGATACAGAGAATTATTTGAGATTTGAAGAGAAGCTACATAAATATAATGAACATGGAAGTAACTGCAGTGTTTTCTGGTCCATTCAAAAGCGTAAAATGAGGAAGACTGGAGAGAAACCCTATCAATGTGGGAAGTTTGAGGAGGCCAACTTAGAACTTAGTGAACAAACTCACACTGGGCTGAAAATGTTTGTTGGTAAGAAAAGTATGAAGGCCCCCACAACACCAAGGGTTCTTCAACAATGTGCATGTAAGCAATGTGGGAAGGCATTCAAACAAAATTGTGAACTTGTAGTACATGAAAGAATTCACACTGGGGCGACGCCCTATGCATGCAAGCAATGGGGGAAAGAGTTCAAACAAAATTGTGAGCTTGTAGTACATGAAAGAAGTCATGCTGGAGAGAAACCCTATGCATGTAAGCAATGTGGGAAAGTGTTCAAACAAAAGTGTGAGTGTGTAGTACATGAAGGAATTCACACTGGGGAGAAACCCTATGTATGTAAGCAATGTGGGAAAGCATTCAAGCAAAGTGGTCACCTTCTAAAACATGAAAGAACTCACACTGGGGAGAAACCCTATGTATGTAAGCAGTGTAGGAAATGTTTCAGGAAGAGTGATAGTCTTAGAGTCCATGAAAGAATTCACACCGGGGAGAAACCCTGTGTATGTAAGCAATGTGGGAAAGCATTCCGTAAAAATGGTAACCTTAGAGAACATGAAAGAATTCACACTGGGGAGAAACCCTATGTATGTAAGCAATGCGGGAAAGCATTCAAGCAAAGTGGTCACCTTCTAATACATGAAAGAACTCACACTGGGTAGAAATTCTATGTATGTAAGCATTGTAGGAAATGTGTTAGTACAAATGGCCACTTGCAAAGACATCACAGAATTCACACCTGGAAGATAGATACCCTATGCATGTAAGCAATCTGGGAAAATGTGCATATGGTGAAATTCTTAAAATCTCCAATCTACTTTTTTATACTTGATGCAACTTTACATGGTATATTTCTGTATTTTACTCTAGGGATACTGTCTGTTGTACAGCGTCTTATTGATTCTATCAGTTTCTTATTGGTACTTTCATATTTCAATATACACCTTGATGTTATTTGCAGTTGAAGACCATTTTATGTGTTGTGACTTATAACCTCCTAACTTTTTCTTTGTTTCTTGTCTGTATCCACTGACAGAATTTTAAGATTTTTGCCATCTAGGTTTTAATGTGTTAGATAACACTAATTATGCAATAATGCCTCTCATTTTTTAATAGTTTCTTCTCTATTATTATTATAATCTGCTCAAATATATAGCAATGCAATATTTTCTTTTCTGTGGGCTGATTATCATTTTATGTTGCTGTTGTTTTCTCGAATTTTCTACTGGGAACTCACCTACCATAGGCTCAGGGCTGGCTCTATTATGGCCACAGCTGGCCTTAGCCTCAGCCTTCCCAGAGAACATGGTACAGAGTGATGTGATGCACTCAGCTCGCGGCCCCCACTGATGAGCTTTCTTCTACAGAGCCCTTTCTGGTGCTTGTCCTGGCCCAGGATGTAATCCCATGGAAAAGTTCCTGGGGCTCTAGTGAGTCAATTCCCATTTACCACTTTTAGTGCAACGCACGGCAAGAATAAAGACACTAAATCTTATTTGTAGATGTGGGACACCAAGGGGTCATAAGCCCAGCCATGGTGAGGGCATCCAGAACAAAGGCCCTGACTCTGGGCCAAACATAGGTTTTGTTAATGTGTGAAGAAAGGAGTGGTTTGAGGGCGAGCGACTGAGAAAGGGAGGAAGTAGGTGTGTGCTGTGAGGTGGGCTAGGTAGGAGGCCCCACATCCCCTCTGCAATATGCAGAGAGAAGGATAGGCAGAAAAGTAATCTGCATAACACAATTGAGATAGTATCTAATGCTTTGGGGTCGGTACTTCAGCTTTGATGTGTCATCTTTCAAGCCCTGGGAGGTGATAACCTCTTATCTCCAGGCTTGATCCCAGCCCACAGCATGGAGCACTGGCTCTTTAACCTGCCTCATCATGGCTAACCGAAGGGCACTGTGAGGGGCTGGGGAAACACGGTCTGTATCTCTAAGACTGCACACCAGTACCTCAGCTGGACCAGTGTGCATTGCTTAAAGCCAATTGCAGGGGTAAGGAAAAGTCCTAGCCGGCTCTGTACATGTCAGTACATGGAAATAGGTTCAGATTCAGCCAAAATAGAACAATTGTTCCACCTTCAAGGAGAGTCACCGCGTGATTCTCTACACCCTCTGCCCTATTTTTTCTATTTTTCTGAAATTGATATCTTTTTTTTATCCAAAATGTACATTCATTTACTATAATATGTTTTGAAGCACCCTTTTTGGTTCCCTGAAATAACTAAAAATGTATTCATTATCCTATATTGAGATATGCTTAAAAATTAATTACATAGTTCATTTGAAACATGTCATTAAAAAAAAGAAATGTCATTTAATCATGTTTTTAAAGGAATTTTTGATCCCATAGAGGTTAAGAATCACTGTATTAAAAGTAGATTGGTATTGAGCTTGTAGCCAATCATACCCAGAATTCATATACACTGCTCTTAAATTTCTTCCTTCAAGTCGTGTGTAGATTTTCTGAACCTACCTTTAGCAAAGTACCCTTACCAGTTTCATCTCTTTCAAAACTGTTTCTTTTCATCATTCCTCTGTTATTTAACATACTTGTAAATAACTCTTCAAATATTTTGATCAGCATTCTCTCTGAATCTGTATCTAAAATACTGCAGCAAGGCAGGGCTCACCCAGGGGAGGGTAGTGGATCTGACAGTGGCTTCCTAGACCATCTTTTATTTTTCTCCTCAGGTTGCTCAGGATCTCTCTTGGGAGTGGCTGAGGCAGTCCTTCTGCATGAAAATAACTAGGCAGTCTGCTGTTTGCATCAGCTACGGCCTGGCTGTGACTCTGATCCTCTTTCTGGGAGTCCACACTCCGTGCTTCTTCCGTGAGATCCTGTCTTGTGGGGTGGCATTTGCCCTCACTGCTCCTCAGTTCAGTAGAGATCCACAGGTTTTCTATCAAAGGCCATAGCTATCGCTAGTTCTCTCCTTATAACTCTTTGGAAGCATGTTTTGTCTCTCCATGAGCTTCTGATGCTGTCTGAGAAACTGGGCTCCTGTCTGGTATCAAGTCACAGAAATGACACCTACGCCACCTTGTCTCTTCCTAGTCTTCAGGTCATTTCAAAGCCAAGAAACTCTGGTGTTAAGCATGAGACAGAATCAAGTCTTCCTATTTATTTTTCAAATATTTACAGTGGGCTTAGATGCACTGTACCTACACACCTTGATAATCCCTTTCATAATACACATTTCTAGTTTCTGGAATTCAAATTATCCGCAGTTTCTGATTTTTCCACAAGCTTGAGGCTGATTTCTCATGCCTTCCCTGTGATCAGCAATAATCTACACCTTTACTTGTAGTCTTTTAGGCCCTCTACCTACATTTTGTCATTTCTGATTTTCCTCTTTGGTAGCAAATGACGCCTGAGTCTATATTAATGATTTATAGCTTTTTCTCTGTTTCATTTTCTAAAATGATCATTTTTCATCCAAGGCTCCATTGACTGTCATCCCCCCATGGAATTCCACCCCTCCCTTCTCTGAGAGCATTTGGAACTATTCTTTCCAGTCTCATATGAGTCGTGTCATATTTTTCTCATTATTCAGGAAGTGTATAAGCACTGGTCCACATTTCCCTTTAACAGCACTCAGTACCAAGCCCCACTTTACAAGCGAGGAGGAAATGCTAATGGGTCTCTACAGCAACTACCCATTTGCTTATCTCTTCCTAAATAGGATGACACTTGGCACCTTGGCCTTGCTGGAGAATTATAAGGAAGATGTTTTGAATGTTATTGTTTTTAAATCTGTTTTTCTTTTTTTTTTTCGTTTTTCTCTGGTACCGGGAACCGAACTCACAACCTTTCGCTTGCCAGGCAGGCGCTTTTGCCGCTGAGCTAAATCCCCAGCCCCTTCTAAATCTGTTTTTCGAAAGTGTTCATTTTATAGCAGAAAAAAGAATGAGGCTTGGATCTTAGTCTCAGTTGGATCATTTAACTAGTTTGGCTACTGTGGGCACTCAGTTTTTTTCTGCAGTCCTTGGCAACCCTTCTTTACACAGGGGTGGTGACATCAACACTGATCAGAATGATGGCGATGAGCTGTGTGAAACACATAAATCACACAGCACTCCATAACACGGCAAGGGACTGTGTCCTTCACCCAAAGCGATAACCTGGTCACTCTAATCATTCTTAACGTTTCTTGTAATGCCTGTAAGCAAAGGCTTGTGAAGGCTTTGTAAGACTCAGGGCCATAGCCTACATCCTTTTCTTAGTTTCATATCCTGAGTATTCGGGAGCCAATCCTTTCCATTTAGCACTTCGCCGGTAGTGCCCAGTTAGTGATCTAGCTCTGCCTGCCCCCTGCTGGTCAGCAAACCCCTGGGTGTGGTAAATAGTGTGACCCAGGCTTGATCCTTTGTTTCACTTTGTAACAGTTCTTCACCAGACTCTATGTTTAGCCATGTGACTTGCTTTGAGCCACAACATATTAATGGATGGGTTAGAAACAGCCTTGAAAACTGTACGTGTAACTGAGCTTATGCTTTCATTCTCATCCCCTTGTTAATGCCAGGTGAGCATGCCCAGGCTAGGCGCTGTGCCAGGTGGAGGTAGAGGGACACACATACCAGAAAAGAGTGTTCCTGTCACCCCGGTTAAGGCCAACCTAGAGCAGTCAGCAACTAGATGATCTCAGATGTGTAAACAGCCCTGTGAAGATCAGCAGAACCAGTTAACTGACGCTCAGCTGGCCCCCAGCTAGTGACCATGCACCTTTGTTGAATGGCTCTGAAATTTTAGGGCTGTTTATTACACACTTAAATTATAACAGTAGAAAGCACATGTACTACTTTACATGGCTATCTGAGTAGTTTCATGATTAACAGGAGAGGAAAGTAGCGACTAATACACTATTAAATAAATTTTAAAAGGCATATTCTTCAGCATGAAAATCTCCTAGCGGGTGAACTATCTTTGGATTCAGGTCTCGGGGTTAAGGAGAAAGGAGGTGGCACTGTGGCTCACTGGGGTGGGTCTTCCTACGAGTGTTATGCTGTTCAGAAGCATTGCTTTTCGAGTTTTTACTGAGCTTCTTTGTCTAACAGTGGATGTCTTTTAAATTTCCATTTTCCTCCCTTTGATTTTCAGCAGTACTGGCAAAAGGTTTGTGTGACTGCCAGCCTCTCCACAGATGACCACAGCCCTTAGGAGAGGACCTTTTCCCAGACCTGTTCTGTCACCTACGGACTGATAAGTTAGACATATTTTTCTCTGCCCAGCCTCTGTGGACCCACTCACGGGGTCTACAGTGGAGAGAACAACCTGTGGCTGGTAGTGCAAGAGGACATGTGAAATAAAACAAGTGACTTTATATATTTATTTATTTATTTCTTGGTACTGGGAATTGAACTCAGGCCCTCACACTTGCCAGGCAGGTGCTGTGCCCCTGAGCTATACCCCTGGCAAACAAGTGACTTTAACAGCATCTTTTGGCCCCTTTTTATATTGTATCAAGGCTCCCAGGATTAGACAGTGCTAAACCAGTCAGTGGACTGATGTAGTAATCACACACCCTCGATTCCTGCATCATACACTCCAGATCCAGCCACCTCTCAAAAGCCCCACCTATGATGGCAGGAGGCTTTGCGGGGGAACATGTAGACCCAAACCATAGGAAGGAAGACTAATGATTTTATACAGAAACACAGCTATGCTCTTTCAGAACCTGATCTGATAGTTGTTGGTGAAGAATTATTGCATTACTTCATCCAGAAGAACTCTTGCTGGGCATCTTGAGAATTTAGACTGACCATTACCCTTGGACACTGGGCTTTAACTATTCAGCCTCCTGTATAAACTAAACATCTGCGCTTCAGATACTGTCTTGGTTACTTTTCTCTTGTTGCTGAGACAAAATACCTGACACCCAAAATTAAGGAAGGAAAGGTTTATTTAGCTCACAGTTTGTGGAGGTTTCAGTCCATACTTGGCTGGCTCTGAGGCAGAGTGGCACGTGGCACAGGGCTACCTTTCATGGCAGCGGAAGACAGCAAAAGCAGCCAGAGGAAAAGGGAGGAGTGGTGGCAAGCAGCCTCTTTCTCTTTGTTATATTGTATGCAAACTATCCGCCCCAGGGCGAGTGTAGCACTCACACCCCAAATCCCAGCATTGGCTCATGTATCAATCATAAACACTAAAAGCCTGCCCCGTG